TATATATAAAATGGCTATCTCTGAGAACATAAATCCTATTACATAGCATAGACTGTACTCCTCCTGATTCATTGTTTAGCATTTAAACATCATCCTAAGAAGTGTCACAGATAATAGCTCTATTTGACATTACAGCACTCTAGATTAGTGTTTTCTTCTTCCCTTTTTTTTTTTTTAAAAAAAATAAAAAAAACCAACCCACTACCTATTCAGGTCTATTTATGGTACAATGAAATGGTTTGCTCTTGGCACTCTGAAACACAGCAAGGAGAACAATGTGACTACCATTTATATAATGCATTACTGTTCTGCTTTGACTATAGTTAGAACATTATTTCATCTAGTCTAAACTAGGAAGCAATGCAGATGAAATACTGGCAAGCCTTGCAAAGACCGTAATATTATGTGAAGTTCCATCTAGTGGTCTAATGCATAATAACATTGAGAATATTGCTCAGTTCTCAACTGGGAGTGAGGGCATTTCCAAAGGACATTAACTTGTCTGCAGTACACCACCTCAATAAAATGAAATATTGCAGTTAAAAAGCTACTACAGAAAGGCCTGCAAGAAGGAAGCGCTGTTGGGAGTCACACTCGACAACACCTACTCAGGTGTTTAACACCTAGATTTTCTAAAATGTGTATGTGTACTTTACACACTTCAAGCAGTCTCACTTATCAGTTTAAGACCATGTCTTAGTCTCTGCAGGATTAAGACATTAAATTGTCTTTCATACACAAAAATGCCACTAATGGTATGATTTTGTGCAGCACTTTTTCCATTTCCTTAATATCTATAAAATTACTCTGGGGGAGAACTACTCAAATAGTTAAAATACCAGATAAGAGAACACACAAAGTAGCATTAGAATATGTGTATGGGAGTGAAATAAGAACAGCTGAGAAACTGAGTCCACATAACATCTGCCCCTATTTGCACCTCAAACTCTTTAAAGGCTTTCTGCTCTTTACATGGGATTAAAGCCAGATGCCATAGTGACGTAGCCGCACCTGGAAAACTGTCCAGTTTTGGGCCCCTCAGTACAAGAAAGACATTGAGTTGCTGGAGCGTGTTCAGAGAAGGGCAACAAAGCTGGTGAAGGGTCTGGAGCACAGGGCTGATGGGGAGCGGCTGAGGGAGCTGGGGGTGTTCAGCCTGGAGAAGAGAAGGTTGAGGGGAGACATCGCTCTCTACAGCTCCTGACAGGAGGTTGTAGTGAGGTGGGTGTTGGTCTCTTCTCCCAAGTAGCTAGCGATAGGACGAGAGGAAATGGGCTCAAGCTGTGCCAGGGGAGGTTTAGGATGGATATTAGGAAAAATTTCTTCACAGAAAGGGTAGTCAAGCATTGGAACAGGCTGCCCAGAGAGGTGGTGGAGTCCCCATCCCTGGAAGCATTCAAAAAACAGGTAGACGTGGCACTTTGGGACATGGTTTAGTCTAGTCTACCCTTGACTGGTTTAGTGTGTACTTGGTAATGTTAGGTTAATGGCTGGACTGGATGATCGTAAAGGTCTTTTCCAACCTAAACGATTCTATGATTCTATAAAGCAGTTTTTGTCATTCCCAGTCTGTATTAGTGCTTTTGCTGCTACCAGCTGCAGTCAGTCTGCAGGTGAGGTGGACAACCTGCACAGTGAATCCTAAAGCTGTACAGTGGATCTGCCTACTGCTCCAGCACGATGCTTTTCATCCTTAAAAGCTAAGCTATGACACGTGAGGTAAAAAAGCAACTGTAATTCTTCAACATGGAGATCTTGATTAAAAAAAAAAAAATTAAATTTTTTACACTTACCTGTGTAAGTGTTGGTAAATTTATCTTCATCAAACTGTCTCCCACAGACTTTTAAAAAAACACCAACAATACGACAAGCCATCAGTCGAGTAATTTTAGAGTCTTCATCCATGGCGGCAATAATCTGGGGCATTAGCCCATCTTTGACTTTTAAGGTCTACAGTTAACAGGGAAAGCATAGATGAACAGCAGCTTTTCAGGCACTCTAAAACAATATGCTTATTGGTTACATCAGTTACCACTAGGTCTGACTGATACTGCCTTGCTTAATGTACAAGGAAAAAGTTAACTATAAAAGTTAACCTGAAAATCTTGGAAGTTACACAGCACTATTTTTGCCTCTAAGCAAACTTGGGAAATGAAAATCCACCCGTTGATCATCCAGTTCATGAATACTTAGTATATATGCAGATGAGTTTTATGTAACTCGTAAAAGCTTTAAACTTATTTGCCTTTTTACTTTTAAAAAACTGTTGGCAAGACTTTAAATAATTTGGAGATGAGGATTATGTGTAGGTACCAGTAGATGGTGCTCTTATTCTAAAAGGAAGCTTTTAAGTAAAGATTGTTGTAATATGATGTTTTAGTGAGTTTCATAATTTGGCTTCAATATGTGCATTTCATATACATTAATGCAAATAAGGCATTAAGACACTGATTCAGAAAAAATGTTTAGCTAGAACAGTAGTCTCTGATATAAATGTTTAATCAATATAAATGTATAAGTGTGAACTCAACCAGTTACATGTTTTTAAGCACTTTGTTCAATTAAGGTCTGTTATAAAGACAATAAAGACTATGAACATTTAATAACATTTTAATTCCATTTATTTTTAAAAAATGCCCTTATATTTAATGTATTTCCAGTGCATCATTTTCAAATGCTATTTTTGTTAGCAGAGAAGCTTCAAAAAACCCCTCAGATTCAATGAATTCTTAATCACTACAGTGGGTAACATTTCTTTAAGCATACTCCCTGTTAGCTCTCTACTTCAGTTTCTACAGATACCCTTCAAGTTCCATTTCAAGTCCTCCTGCCCTTTCCAGGAATCTTTTAGATTATTTTTTCCTAAATGGACCTGTGGGCTCCAAGGCAACCAGACAACTCGGCTTTGCCACATTACACAAAAGCATGTCCTGGCTAGCTCCAGCGCTGCTGCACAGGCGCTGGCTAGGGGTCCAGTAACGTCAAGTACCCAAGTCGTTGTGCTACTAGTGGTTAGTATTTTGTGCTACAGAACTGACGTTACGCTAGAACAAAGATCTACAAAATTTCTACGGCTCACCATATTGCTGGCCTCAGGTTTCTTATCAGGATATCATCGTCCCTCCACTACTGATCATTTCAATTATTAATACTCCATTACAATTAATGAATTTTATTATGTCCATCTGAAAATATTACAATAAGGATTCATTCTTTTTTTCCCCCTTGCATTTATTTTGTCTTCCTGCCTAAGATTTCAAAGTACATTTGATGAGAAAGAGAGAATTTACCTCTTTCGGTGAAAGCATTTCACAGTGAATAAGAGCCCAAAGGCATGATACAGCTGTAGTGCGGATGGCAGCTGCTGTTCTTCCAGCATGCCACTGCAGATTAGGAGCCAGTATGTCTTTTATCACAGTCTCAAGGTAGCTAGGGAACAGCCTGAAGGGAAAAAAAAAAAAAAAAGAAAGCAAAATAAAGGTTCACAAGAAAGTGATAAAGAGACTGACAGGATGTAAAAGAGAATTTTCTGTCATAGAAACAGAGGCAGAAAAGAAAAAAACCCCAACCTTATAAACCAATGTGATTGTAATGTATGTGATAAGCTTTTCATAACTTCATTTTTCTAGATAATATTTAAACAAATACCTAACATTCATGGAAAAGGGAGGCTAGACTTTCTCCCACTTCAGACGATGCCCATGACTCACTGTGTTATCTTGGTAAACTACTTACCTTCTCTCTGTCTCATTTTCTCCGTTTGTGAAGTGGAGATAACAGCCCATATGAATGCTGTGAGGATTCATTAATATTTGTGAGGCCCTTTGAGACTGTCCAGTAAAAAGTATTTATAACGTGAAAAGTATGAATGCTATTGATGAGACCTGAACTACTGATACTGCAGGGAGTCTACACAGAATACTTCAGCTTTCCCTTGGCTCAGAAACTCGTCTCCCTCAAGGATAAGAGGTCTGTAAGATTTTCTGATAGTGCCAGTCCCAATACTAGTTTGTTTTCACTGCAAACACAAAAATCTGTGATATTTTTGCTGATGCTTCTTCCTCCTCCTCTACTGAACGGGCTATTACAATGCTAAAAGTTGCTGCGAGAGTCAGCAATTGCAATAGGCAGCATTCCCTCGCACCCATTTAATTCCAGCTCAAACGATTTTAAATTAAGAGAAAAAGATATCGATCTTAACGCACAAGTTAATAAAGACTTTGCTGCATCAAGGAGACGTGTGCCTGGCTGTGATTAGATAACTAAGGCTCAAGTTATTCACTGTGCTTCTCTGCCATAAAAAGCAGCTGGCAGCATGCAAAACAGACTGACAAATAACAGGCTACGTCTACCTTGACTTGTGTTCCACTCTATTCAAACTTCCCACAGACCTGGACTGCGGCCACCCGAGTGCAAAACAGTACCTCGCCACCCTGGTGCTTGGCAGAAAGGGAAGAAGCTGTTGCTGACTTTTTTTTGCTAAAAGTCCTACATTTCCAGGATGAATAAGTGGCTCCTACAGCGATGTGCCAAGCCACAGGAGGAACAGAATGGGTAGATGTTAACAACAAACAAGTATCACTAAGTACTTTAAAGAAAACCCACAAAACCCCCTTGAAACCCCAAACCCAACAACAAAACAAAATCACCCAGCAATGATAATCCAGCAATAAAAATTTCTGTAATAATATTGTATCAGTGTAATAAGAAATGTAATTGCATCTAATTCTTTCCTGTAACTACTCTTTACCCACTGCAGTCAGACCTTGTCATCCAGGTGTAATCTGACTAACGTACGACCAGCTAGCCTGCCAGGCCCTAATTACCTATCGCACACACACAAAACTGAAAATCTCTGTCTTCAACATGATGAAAATAGATACCTGGCTGCTGCCTAGCCCCTTGGCCAAGGGAGCGCCCTGCCTGAGCAGGTCAGAGATCCGTTCTTGCTTCCCGTCCAGCAGATGGCACTTAAGATTCAGTAATCACAAGAAATCTGACATCCCATCAGACACATCCAAATTTGTCAAAACCCTTTAGATTTATTATTTTAAACACATTTTTGAGAATTAATATATTATCTTCTATTCAAGAAGTCGCCAGAAAAAAATATAACTAACGATCACCATCATTCCAAATTTCCTTTTAGCTCCTCAGTTAAAAAAAGCTTTGTGCTACCTGTGCTACTGTGCTATCTGATCACTACCTGCTTCTGTTTTCAATAAAGCCCTCTTGTTAAACAGCAAGGAAAAAACTATCTGTCAAAACAGAAAGGTAAATTCCATCAGCATCATGTTAATCACAATGCTAGGCTATCTGTGAGAATATTTGTTCTGGTGCCTTGAAATAGAATCAGTAAAGCAGTATCTGGCAATTATCTGACTCAGCCATGTCAGACTCAAACAAAATTAGATGACCACACAACTGTGTTTAGTATAATAACTGAAAACCTTCCTATCGAAACTGTTGGAATGTTTTTAAGGAGCTAAATAAATTACTGCCAGCAGCGAATGCGATTATGTAACCAGAACCTATTACTACTTCACTACACTATCTCTCATTACCATTAAGATGTATTTTTTGCTGTTGCTGATGTAATTAAATTCTCCCTCTTTCTATTTTCAGAACTTACTGTGGTAAATCCATGTAACTTAATTCTAAAAGCGAGTCAATTCCATGAAAGAACATACCCTGTGATATTTGTATTTACAGACTTGAGACTTTATTCTCAACTGGATATGCAATAACTAAAATGTGATCTGTGCATACAATAATACCTAGGTCTTATGCAAGTATGAAAAGCAGACCCTGGGTTTACATTAAAATTGCTACTCCCATTTTATGGACTTATACACTTAAAATTTCATTCCATGTTAATTATTTGTTACATATTTTTCTTCTGGATTGGCTCCTTTTCTGCTTTTATGGCACTGCTGCACTTGGCTTTATATGCTTGTCAGGTAATTTGAAATAAAATTGGATTTGCTTTTACAAATCAAAACCTCCAAAAATGTTTTGCAAACAACTCTTCAAACACAAAAATTTTACACGTTACTTCCTACATTAAAGCATTGGCTGTTACAACGGTAAGTAGGATCAAGACTTCAAAGAGTCATTTAGCTCCCTCTACTGCCTTTTAGTTTCTGAAGATAAACCTACTAGTAAAATTCATTGCATTGCTCTTGTTCTCAGAGGACAGAGCGCCTCGTTATGACTTAGACTGGGCCATCCTTAGCCAGGAGTGTTCTGTACAAACAGGTCTATTAACCTCATTGGATGTATCTAATCTTGACAAAAGGCCATTCACTCACACTGCCCTGAGCAAAACAACTTCCATCATTGCTGTCTGTGGAGTGCTGGTGCGATGTGCGGCTATAGTCGCTGAGAGTATTACTTTGAAAGGTATTCTTCTCATTTTTTCCACGCTGGTAATTTCCCTTTCCTGGGAATCCTAGTGAAGCTGACAGCACATTGGGTTGGTTTTACTTCTCCCCTCTTCGACTCCGTTATTTATACAAATGACTGGGTTGCAGATGAAAGATTTTTTTTATTCATCGTATTTACTTTGACTACTGCCAAAACAAATGTTTACTCTTTGATGATGTTCTCCACATGGTCCTGCACGGATCATCTCTTTCTATCAGCAGTACCTACATGATCTAACTTAATATACTCACCTGAGCACTTCAGAGACTTTCAGATAGAGAACTGCTACCCATCCTACCGTACAGGTGAGAAACAAAGAATGACTAAAGCTATGTGTTAATGGAGAAGTCCTTCCTACCTCCTAGCCACCCTAGTCAGGAACATTGCAGGTCAGGACTCTATAGCATGCCATGTAATGTACCTGGCCTACTGCTTAGATGCAGCCTAAATGATTTTCTATAGATCACAAACGAGAGGCAGAACATAGAATTTAACTCAGTTCTTCAAATTCTATTCTGCTGTAATCTGTGATGCTATTTCTGAGGAGGAAGAGCAGGAGACCAGATAACTGAAAATGTATAGAGAAGAAATGCCAGTGAGACTAACTTGTTGACCAGGTCTGAATTTGATTAAATGCTTTGGAAGAAAGAACATATTTAATGTTTTAAAAACAAATGTAGAAAATAATAAGTGTGATGGTATGGTAGATGGAGAGGAGCTAATAATGTATTCTGCAGTAAATAAAGGACAGTAAAATTTTGCCATAAAAGAAACTAAATAGATAGGAAGGAGTCACATTATCCCATTTTTAGACTGAAATACATTATTACACACTTACTAAGCATTATTGTTGTGATCAGGGCACCAGAGAACACGAGATGACATTTCTTGGCCTCACAGTCTTTGCATTCTCAGTTAGACGATACAGATCTGACATTTAACGGATTAGCTTACAACAAATAGTCAGATCCTGGAACACTTAAAATAGTTTTCAAAGTGCTTTTCTTTCTTTCTTTTAGGAAGATTCTTGCATATCTAGATTGATCTTGTAACTACCACTCAGTTACATGATTACTTAAAGAAGTAATCCACTGACTACAAAGAGATTTTTCATATGAATAGGGATTTTAATATTGGATCCTGAAAATATGGAAACAGATTAACACCACACTTGGCACAAAAGCTTTCAGTTAAAAAAGGACAGCTTCATTATATCCCAACTTAAGCACACTAGCTCAAAATCTATTAGGGGGTGCATTAGTAGAGATTCTTCAGCTTACCTGGAATCCCCCATAGAATGGGAACACCAGTGTTCCTCCTCCCCCTACATTATAGGATGCAGGCCATGAATATACTAAATGTGTCTAAAAATGGTAAGAAGACATCTACTTGCATACTACCATGGCCTCATGGAACCTGAATGAATGTTCAACATACCAGAATGCCCACTGAGTGCCAATTTGCTCATCAGAATAATGAAAAACACTTTTAAGTATAAATGACCATTGCTATCAAAGTACTGTTAGGAAGAATGCTTCCTGTGATTGATTTTTTTTTTTTAAAGAGTTAAAAATTAAAAAGATATGCAACAGAACACATTTACATACTAAATGCAGCAGGCACTGGGAGAAGCAGAGCAGATATGGTTTATGCTTTCAGCACAACTTTGCAGAAGTGTTTGCACTACTAGTAGGGCTAAATTAATAATGACAAAAGAGCCCCACTGTTGGGATTGTTATAAATGGAAGGGTTTTAGAAGTACTGTAAATTATAGTTAGATTGTACTAGCAATGCATAAGTAGCACCAAACAACAGGAGACTTCCATCATCAGTCACTAAGAGTAATAATAATTCCTTATCAAACATTTAGTTTAATGCTTTTTAAACACCATGTTGTATCATGGGCATTTTTAAATGCCCATTTTTGGGGGTGTTTTATTGTTTCCTTACAATGACTACAGGCAAAGTTTAAGGATTTAGGAGTTGGCTGGGAGAAAAAGGAAAAAAGAAAAAACAACTACCCCCCCGTTTCTTTCCTAAGAATCCCCATTTTAGCTTTCAAACATACATTCTTTTCAACTGTAGCTCTTCATTTTTTGAAAACTATCCAGATCTGCATGACATCCATTTTAATTCTCCATAGTGGCAAAGGTAGGAAGACTACAGTGGAAGAAGTCCAGACTTCAATTTCTTTATTTTTTTTTTAAATTGCTGCACTCTGCCCTTCTAAGCATTGTTAAAAAATACAGCAAGAAAAATATGCTGTAGAAGATGGTGGGAAAGTCTTTCTTCTCCCAGACATGCTAACATGGACACAATTATAGGGGTTAAATAGCTACTATGGTCATTACTTTTTAATGCCACTGTAGCATTCAAATAGCTGTGTGAAATTAGAACTCTACTTACCCCTGAGAATTGACGGTTTCACTTGCTTTCTGAAGCAACTGTGATAAAACAGTGAAAAGTTTTAACCGCATCTGGGGATCTTTGTTTGGCTGAAGACACGTTTTAAGAATGAGAATAAAGTTATTCAGAGCTTCACCTATGACGGGACCTAGAAAGTAAAACGTAAGGCTTATGTCAGAGTACTAATAAGTTCTATTTAGATGTTCAATATGCGAGTGCGTTAGAATTTATAATATGCCTGGTATTAAAATAGTACTTTCCACTCTTGCATGGCAGCTGTTGATGTATCCATGTTACATCGTATTAGGCGGTGTACAAATAACACAAGCTAACTCTCCATGGGCTCAGATACCCACAGTCTTAGCCATGGCAGCATGGTGCTCCCTGACGATTGGTTTATTCACATGTCATTTAGCCAGCTTGGTATTGCTGTACTACACCGCATTATGTATCAATGACATGCACTAGCTGCTGGGACCAGCAGTACAAGATGACATTTTGGGTGGACTAATGCATGGGGGGGAGGGGGGGAAATTAACGCTGTTCACTATCTAGCTCTGAAAGCTTGAGGCTATGCACAAAGTTCTGGTTTTATTGAACTTAATGAAAAATTATACTGAATCTGGTATGACCATGACACCACTCCAAACAGCAGCATTAACTATGCTTGTTTCTTCTTTCAAGTTTTTCCCGTGCAGCATTCAAGGAAAGATGTGCATGACACCCAAAGGCACCGGAAAAAGCATGTTTGAAAGTGTCAGCCTCAAAACTTGGATAACAGAGTTTTGCAGCAGTATTTTTTCTTCATGTTTAAATAATGCTTATTTGCATTTTACAAGAGAATCTAAAATACAATGAATTTTAGAAGCTACAATTTAAAATAAAAATATTTTCCAAATTAATTCTCTAATTTGTTAACATTTTCACATCCTGTGATGAATTCTGTTTTCACCACTAAACAATAAACAAACAAAAAAACCCCCACCCTAAACTGTTATCCCAACATTTGGAGAAATGATTTCCCTAAAACAGAAGGAGGTTTGTGCCCTTCTGCTTGATAATGATTAACACCTGCATGGCTTTAAAGAGGAATTCATATAGACTACACACATGCTTTATTCTGCAAGCTTCTTGCTGTAGAATGCTTTTTCTGCTCTACATTTGCAACAAACTGCTTTCCTCTAGAAACTTCTTGAGCTTTGCTTCCTTGTGATGCACACTCCATTCAACCCCGGTCACTCAGAAAATCCTCCCAGGAGGAGACACAATACTGGCATTTCTGATGACAAGAATATTCCTCACAAATGGAATGGACAGATTGAAGTATTCAAGATTCCAAAACAAGTTGACTAGCATTTAATAATATCTGGAAATTTAATGTTTAAAATAATAATAAAAAAGCCCCAAATCTTCACTGTCTAGACTGAAGCAATACAGGATGTTGAACTGCAGTTTGCTAAATTACTGTGCCAACAAATAGGTCTTTATTTTCACAGCATTTATTCAAAGTACATTGCTTCATGTGAGTTCTGAGACATTTAAAAGATACTACTACTATATCGAACTGATAACAGCAAATTCAACCGATGGAAAATAAACAAAATAAACTACATTGCTAATTTCAGCTTAAGCATACATTCCTGAAAAACAGTAAAAAATGAGAAATTTGAGATGAGTAAACCTGATTAAATTGATTAACAACAACATTATGTGTGGGAATGGAAAGAAAGGGGGGAAAAAAAGGGGGGAAAAAAAAAAAAAAAAAAAAAGAATAGCTCTAGGAGCTTCTGTGTCAGACAGAAAACACAGACAATAGCATATTACCAGTGCTGGGTACAAGCCAAAATGTTTGCCCAGACATTTGATGATTTATTTAGCATTAAGGAAAACAGAGACAACTGTCTAGAAGTCACTCAGTCATGGAAACGGGAGCGCAAATATACAGAAAAGTTGGCCTCTCAGATCTTGTGCTGAAAAAACTTTTTGTTCCTTCCACAGATGAAAAAAAGAAAAAGTACTTTTGCTGGTTGCTGCACAAACCAGCAAGTGGTGCTTCACATAGGTTTGTTGAGGTTTTTTTGAGATTCAAGGATTAAATGCAGAAGATACAGTCCCTTAAAACATACCTGTCCGCATTTAACTATCTGCGGTAGCAGCAATACTACTTCACCTGTAGCTGAATTAGCTGTCTACATCCCCGTTTTAACTAACGGAAAGGAAAAAACAAGTAAATAGGACCTTCCATTTTAATCATCTTAAAGTGGGTGTCTAGGTGAAAAGAACTGCCTGTCACTGCGTCCCTTGCCTGTAGATGCAATCTGGAGAGCTGCATCAGAGGAACATTCACTGTGCAGATCTGAACTTAGGTGAAATGTATGCTAAAGTGTTTCACTAATCTATATATGGTAATGTATTGAAGAACATGAGGAAATGTTTGTACAGAAAGATAGTATCTTCTATAAGACTACTGAATAGATGGAAAAAATAGATACATTTTTGGACATAAGCTACATCAGCTCATCTCCCCATAATCCTTACCTGTTTCATTTACCTGAAAGTGTACTTTGATATAAGTGCTTTTAGTGTGCTCCTTGCAGCCAAGCAGCCTTTTGGAATTTGAGCTGCTTCAACATTTTCAGTTTTTCTTTCCATTATAATCTTGTGAAGTTCCCGAATATTACACTATTCATTATAAAACACAATGTGTCTGCAGGCTATGGAGATTATTACTTTACTTTTTTAGAACTCAGTGCACTATCACACTACTAAAGTCGTACCTGAATGAGTTGCGATGACATCTAACTGTAATATTTCTGGAGAATAGCATGTCCAACAATCACATGATACTGACACCCATTCCATAAGCTGAATTATATGCTGTTTGTAGAGGTAAAGAAAACTATCCAATTGCTGCACTTCAGCTAATGAAGACATTGTTTCCTCTACCTGTTACAACAGAGACAGGATACTTTATCTTAACTGAAACAAAATTAAAAAAAAGAAAAAACTTCTAAAACTCATAGTTATACTATAAGAACAGAAGGGACACAAGAAGAGTTCCATAGTTTCTACTTGGACAATCAAGACTGATATTTAACGTCTGCCTATACTTACACCCATTAACTTTGATTTAAAGTGAAACATTTGTCCTGATTTCAAAATGAGATCATAGGGAACACAGCAACATAACAGCAAAATCTCTAATCCATGTGAAAACCTATCAAAAAACTAACTGTGCCATAAAAAAAGCTTTTACTAGTTTTAAAGATGTAGTGAGTTTTCTTCTTAATTTAAGAATGCTTTAAAACATTAACACAGAAGGAGTTTCTCACAATCCCATCTAGGAGGCTATGGCAGCTTCCAAAAATATTGCTGTGGCAGCTCAGAGAAGACATGGTATTTCCCCTCTCCCCTCTTTTTTTTTTTTTCTTCCCCCAGTTTTAATTATGCAAGATGTTCTCTCTTTACAGCAGCTGGGCAGGTTCATTTTGAAATTCTCAACTTCTGTTGCTTAGAAGTAGAAAAACTCACTGTTACATTTGAAATACCTTCTTCATATTTACATTTAGACTATTCCATGAGATAGGCAAATAAAACATGTATCTAAAAGAACTACTAAACAAATTCCAGACATGATCATGCTTGGCAAGGAAGCATATAGATTTTCTTATTCACTTGTAGCAGATGTATTTCAAAGCAAAGGAAAATTTGCTTTTACAATTCCTGAAGACTCCTACCAGAGGTACCAAACTTCTCTAAGGACGAGATGAAAAGCATGCTGAAAGCAGCATCTATAGTCTTAGTGATTTCAATGGACAGTGAATCAAGAATGGGGAGCAAGACACCATTAGAAACCCCACTGAGAAACAACATATGCCATCAGCATGGCCAGTTCTAGCAGGGAAAGATGTAGTGCAGTGCTATGAGTGATGTCATTTGACTCCAAGTGGTTCAGTAGAACTACAAATTGTAGTCATATTTTTAACATTTTTAAGCTGAACTCAACCGCACAAGTTAGCTGAGACATGTCTAGGACCTTTAGAATTTTACAGACTAATCGCTTGCCAGACAAAGATGTTATTATGGAAGTACCAGATGTGGAGAAAATAAATGAGATCTCCAAGAAAAAAAAGGAGAAAAAAAAAAAAAAAATCAGGATTTGCCAAGGACAAAGGTTACTCTTAAAGCAGGTTTGCCTGCTGCAAGCACAATAGATTGCTCCTCTCTGGAAGCATTCTGCCAGCCAGCCAAAACAACTCAGAATAACTTACATGTAAAATATTAATTCATCTGTAAATTAATTGGAACATTTTACATGACAGAATGTGTCAAGAGAGAAACTGTTCCCCATTATTAACCCCACCACAATCAGCAAGATGTTTTTTTTCCATTGAACAAAAAAAGATACAAAATAATACATCATTCAAAGGTGATTTAAAATAAACTCTTGAAGTAGTTTCAGGAGGGCAGTTAAAAAAGAGAGAATAAATTAAACATGCCAATACACCAATGTATATCTTCTCATTAAGAAGCATGTATCAGTTTTAAAAAAAAAAAAAAAAAGGATGATTTTCTTTCCTATGTTTGAAAGCTAACAAGTTTAATGATACAGTATTTTCATGCTAATAATCAATTTGTGCCAAAACAAAAGCCAAGATAGCACAGGCCATTGGTAATGAAACAAAATCTTATCTTTAGGTCACTAGTTAAATCACTGACAGCTCAATACATGCTTAACAGACTCTAACAACTGATATGGCTTCTGCCTATTTGGGGCTGTAAACCATACTCCTCATCATGATACCAAAGTGCTCAGTTGGTGGTCTTGAGCTTTTTCTTTAGCCCTAAGCAACCAGAAACACTGATGAACACAAAGCAAAGGGGCCAAAAAACCAAGCAAGATTGTGAGTGTTCACAACCAGGTCACATCAGTTGTGGTCTCTGCTATCTCTGGGATCTTCTGTCCCCTTACAGTAAAGCCTGAATTGAAGTTCTATAATGCAAATTTTTGAATAGTTTATGCTTATATTAAAAATCTTTTGATCCTGAATACAGACTTCTTTTCTGAACAACAAATTTATACTTGCAAAGTTAGATGTAATATTTGTTCTATATGTTCTTAAGCTATTTTAACAGGGACTTCTTGCCTTCTGCAGGTTGTACAGCTCTCTTTGAAGTTCTAGAATATTCAGTAACTAGGGGAAAAAAATAAAATCAAGCTTTATTTGTCTTTGTGACAAATCTGAAATATTGCAATTATGTAATCTCATTGCCAGATTTTTCTATCTGCCTAGCTGAAAGGAAGGCTAATGAGAAAAAGGATTCTCATCCAAAGTACTGTCAACTTTAAAAATCATCTGTAACTGCAGGAACATCTTAAACCTTTAATAATCTTGGGAGATTAACTTTTCCATATATGAAAATCAGGCTTATCTCCATGAAACTGCTTTCTTTGTAGGAGTATGAATTTTTAAGGTTTTAAATAGACATTGCTGACTTTATAGACCACTGTAGGGCTAAACAGACAAGATACTGCAACACATACCAGATCCATCTGTCTGAGGCTTAGTTGGACAGACTATTTGTTTAAAACAAACAAATAAAAACAAAACACCCCCCCCCCTCCAAAATCCCACTCTCACACTGGCTCTCCACCAGACAGATCTTCATGCCATACCACTTTAAATTGCAAAGTCTTTTCAATATTTGTTCAAGCTTTGTTCTATATTACTACTTTTGGAATAGTTTTCTAAGTGTATTCCTCCTCAGAGGCAGCCTGTCAGCTATGGGGCCATAAATACTGATGCTACACCGGCCTTTGGAAAACCGTGCCTGGGAGCAAGAGAAAAGGAAGTAGCACAGCTATCGCATTTAAGGCGCACATTTGAAAAAAAGACAACTTGGATAGGTCACAACTGTACTACATGAGGATGGCTTGCTGATTTATTTGACGTTTAGCTTGGGGAAGAAGAGGAATAGAGAAATAAGGGGGTGTGACAATGTTTAGCCAAAAAAGCTCATCTATTATCAGGGCATCTACAGATGTCCTTGATTTTGAAGCATTCCCGCAACATTTAAACTTTTGGTTCTGGTAGGGAGGTAAAAAGGTTAACTACTGTAAAAATCAGTCTGATCTTTGTCTAAAGATAAAAAAAAAATTATTACAGAACTATCACTTTAAGGCTACTAGTGCTCTTGGTCTATAGGTAAATTGTTCTGTAATAGTCAGAAAATAAATCTGAGTTTTTTCCTGGCCACTGTCCTGGTTTTGGCTGGAATAGAGTTAATTTTCTTCCTAGTAGCTGGCATAGAGCTGTGGTTTGAGTTTAGTATGAGAAGAATGTTGATAACACGCTGATGTTTTAGTTGTTGCTAAGTACTGCTTATGCTAGTCAAGGACTTTTCAGCTTCCCATGCTCTGCCAGGTGCACAAGAAGCTGGGAGGGAGCACAGCCAGAATAGTTGACCCAAACTGCCCAAAGGGCTATTCCATACCATATGGCGTCATGCTCAGTATAGAAACTGGGGGGACTTGGCTGGGGAGCAGCGATCGCTGCTCGGGAACTGTCTGGGCATCGGTCGGTGGGTGGTGAGCAATTGCATTGTGCATCACTTGCTTTGTATATTATTACTTTATTTCAATTACTAAACTGTTCTTATCTCAACCCAGGAGTGTTTCTCACTCTTACTCCTCCGATTCTCTGCCCCATGCCATCAGGGTAGGGGGAGTGAGCGAGCGGCTGCGTGGTGCTGAGTTGCTGGCTGGGGCTAAACCACGACAGCACTTTATGTCCTTCTGTGTATAACCTAACATTACCAATAGTCCAGTCATTTATAGTCACCTAAAAAGTAAGCATTGACAGTTCAACCAGCACCAACAGTGTGCCTAAGGCCTTGCAGAATCCAGTGACAAGCATAAACTCTTGAACACCTCCTGTCCCAAAACTTCACCTAAACCATGTCCCAGTGATTAATATCCACCCAAGTAAAGTGTTCTTCTAGGCTAATGGCTGCCCTCATGCAACTGTGAGCTTCCCACCCTCTAGTAATGTACTTCAAGACATCTATTCTGAATCCTAATCCAAACAGACTTTAAAAAAAAAATAAAATCTAGTTGTAGCTACAGCCTACAGACCCATACTGGGTGCTTTTGGCTACAAAATAAAACTGAATTCTAAGGCCCTTCTCAGAACCAGCACATATTCTAACTCTATAAGCCTTCAACAAAGTTATGAAGAAACATAATTCTCCAGGCTCTGCTGTCCCAAATTGTGAACCCAACTCCAAACTTAATTCTGGTATTAATCATATATGGTATATACAGTGAGAGATGCACAACCTTGGACTAGCCATGAGCCATTACTCCCCACTCGTACAGCCCGTAGCCAGTGAACAAGCCTTACAAGATGCAGCAATAAGGCCAACTCCTAAGTTTCTTACCTGAGTAATAACCTTTCCTGTTATGTCAGCCAAACTCAGATATTAACCAGATTTCTGTAGATCACACTTATTATGTAGGAGCTGATATTTGCCTTAGAAACATCAGTGTATGTTCTAGCCTTATAGTGCTTGCAAGATGCAACAGTACATTCAGCTCTTCTAGCACCACTGTTGCCTAGACTTGAACCTCAACTTTAGTCCCACCCTAACCCTAGCACTACCCTGTCTTCCAGTTCCATAAAAGAAATAACCTGTAAGACCCTAGTCACTGTTGCTGCCAATCTTAATTTCAGCCCTGTGGATTTGCAGGATTCAACACTAAACTGAGATCTTCAAACTGTTGTCTGGAAATAGACATAGCACCTAACAATTATGAACTGTGATCTGGCAAAGCAGAAATATCAGTATTTTGACTGACAAATGATAACATTCATAGATCTTTCAGCCTTCACAGTGACTTCTAAATACTAACTAATTGCTACAACAGTGCCATAGGGGTAGATCTTTGCAGAACAGTTTTATGACTAAACACAGAATCCAAGCATTCCCTCACGCTTCTTTCATTCTAACAGATTCAATCTGATTAATTTGAAGTTATATGTATATCTAAATGTTCAACTCATATTTCTATATAATTTTTGAAAGAGATTGCTATACACACACGGACAGATGAAAAATAAGCAACCCCCAAACTAAACTAGTAGTATTGTACAAGTTCTTAGCTCTTACAAATAAGATTTTAATGATCTATTCTTCTGGAGAAGTTGCCTTTATCTGTTTTAAACAGACTAAACCTGAAGTAATTTCAGCTACAGCAAAAGACGAGGAGACAGAGAGAGGGTACACTCAAGGTCATACAACACCAAATCATTTCAACTATACCAATCTTTGTGGATGAGCTCTTAAGTTAAGGATTTCTGTGGCTTAAACCTGACAGCAAGACAAATAATTATGGCTTTTTTAGACAAAGTGTCTTATCAACAGTAAAAATCAGAAACACAACAAAATATTAAACCAGCTCATAGTTTACCTTTTCTTTAAGGTGCTGAGAACATGGTATTGCCATTATTGCCACCAAAACTTTCATTAGCTGCAAGCTTATTTCTTTGCAGTCTTCCTGGCATACTTCAATCAATGCTTGTACACAACAAAGCAACTGCTCCATATAAAAGACCTATTTTTTAATAAAAGCATAAATTTATTATGTTTTGTTAGAAACTATAACATTCTCTTTAAGGGAGAGATACAGGAAATGACAATAATAAAATCTGAGCACTGTAAAATCCCCAAAGTTGGTAACATATTGATAATTTCACAATAGTTCTTTTGATTGCCTATATTCTACTTTTTACAGAATACAACAATCTTCCTCCCACACAGTTTGTTTGTATTTACCTTGTCCTGTTAACAAAATAAATGACCCTGCCCTTAATCACACAATTGTTCCACTGTGAATAAAAACATCACAGCATTTTGGAATGCTTACCAATAGTACTTTCTCATTCTGAGGAGCAATTTGTTAATTAATAACATATTGGTTACAACTCTTTCAAATATTATTCCATGTTTAACTATTTTGAATGGAACGATAATAGTTAAATACATAAACCAAGAAAACCTGAGCATCTTTTATCTCAGTCAATTTATCTCATTTGATGCAATATAATTCATGTTATCCTGATCCAACTGATACCAACTGAAGTCAATATTGTTGCCAGTTTGCAGTAACTTCTATGATAAAGTGCATCAGACATTCCACGAAGCTGTCAGATTACATTCAACGAATAGAAGAGGCCATTTTTACAAATTTACTTCCAAAAAATAAATCAAGTCTAGGAATAGGTTAGCTATAAATGTTATTAGTCTCATGGACATGGTCAATCCTTAGCTAAAAGGTGTCTATGCAGCATTCGCTGTCTAAAATGAGAAAGATTGTTTCCCAAGACCAAAGGCTAGAACAATTCCACCAAACGCTTCAGCTGCAGATGAATGTGTCCATTGTATCTAATGCCAAATGGAAGTGGTAAACTTAAGAGGTCATAGCAATTTTGCAGACATACTTCAGGGAATTGTTATTTGAACAATCAGGTTATAGTGCTTCCAGTTATATGAGTTCCTAATTATCACAGGCTTCATGGAGATTAAGGCTAATTCCTGCATCACTGGTACATATTCCATTAGGGAAGAAACCCAATGAGGGAAGAACTTCAAATGTATGTCTTACATGGGCTCAGAAAGACAATTAATTATGCTAGATTCAGTCTACACACATGAATAACTGTTTTAAAGGGAAGTCTGCATCTGACATGAAGTCAGAGTTTTCTGAAGGCACAGCACTGGCCCTTTTTTGGTCATCTTAAGAGCAGAGGCCTAACAAACTTCTGGTGGAATGAAAGCTGGGATTTAATTTGTGGGGGAAGTTGTAGGGATTCTTCTTGTGCATCTTTAACAGATCTATTTCCACATCTGAGCAACTGAAGAGGGGAAAAAAAAGAAAAACTCCTTGAAGTTAAAAATCTCCATTCCACGTTGAATAGAATCTCTCACCTCCTTATATAGCAATTGAGGAATATTCTTCAAATACTAAAACAAAAATGGTCTTCAGGCTCAGCCATTAGTTACGGGTACACTTGGGAGTAAATTTCTAATTCCTAAAGGTCTTCTTCCTAGATTATCACTTAAAGAGAAGCAACTAGGCCCAACGGTTTACAAAGCATGCTCCTAAATGCACACGTAAGAGTACTGATACCTTCCTTTTAAAATGGAAAACAATAATAATACAAAACAAAAATAAGAAGATGATATTAAGAGGGAATCTTTCTTGGGAAACCTGACATGCCAATTACAATGGACTGTGAGAAGTTTTCGGTCATTTTTACTGATGAGGATCGAAATCATATGATCTTCTTCGGATTGTGAACACAAGGCATTTCAAAACATGGGTTAAACTCTGCCTCTGGATCAGCCAAGGCAGCCCTCCATTAGCACAGTACACGCTAAACAGCTTCTTCTCTCCCCGTCGTGCCTTTTCATTTTCCTCCCACTATCTGAAGCCTTTTACAGCAGTTCTCAAACTTGAACCCGCATCTGCTGAGAGGATGGACTGCTATGAAGTTTTTGGGAATAGCAGATTTGGCCAGGAGACCACAACACGGCCCAGGGAGCATAGAGAAGCTCCTGTTTTGTCTCAGACACACGTCCACAACCATATCCCGAGATAGGGGGGAGTGGGAATGCAAGGGAGGGATAGGAATGGGAGCAATTAGGGAGAACAAGGGAAAAAATAAGTTGGAGAACTACTGGTCTAAAACTGTAGTCTGTTGTGCATCTTACACTTATCCTTACCTCTTCAGATCGTTGACAAACTCCAGCTTGTGACAGTGTGTTGCCAAGATCAGTCAAATGAGGCTGTAAGATTTCTTTTGGGCTACCTCGAACCACTGCAGTTAGAACCATTATACAAGATGGCTTAGGTGTCTTCCCAAAGGCTGATGTGATTAATCTCAACGACACCTTAGGGCTGACAAACGTTCCAATCAATTCTGCTGCTTTCACACACTGAAAAAAGAACAGAAGTAACTTGAGGATTTTCCTGAAAACACAAAGACCATTCAACATATCATGGACTTTTTATGATTCCAGCTGTTATTTTAAATGCTTCAGCACTTGCCTTATAGGCCTCTTCCACTCACTCAGTAATGATTATATGCATGAAGAAATTTTCTTGACATGTGTTCAGTAAGCACATAATAAGGCATGCAAGCATTCTTCTCAGCATCAGACAAACTTCCATGAGAAAGTAATGCACAGAAATGAAGTGTACAACTTCCAGTGTAATAAAGTCTCTAGGTTAGAATAACCAGATGTTGCAGATCTAGTGGTTTAGCATTTTGCCCTCCAAATGCTGTTCTGAGGAATGCTCTCAATGCACCCACCACCCATCTATTAAAAGCAACAATAAAACCCTGGAAGAGGAATTTTTTTGTTATTGTACTAGATTTTGACACTGACATTACAGATCTGGTTTAGTGTGGAAGCACTGCCATGGAGGAACTGCCCACTGCTTTCAATCTCTTACTTCTTTAACTTAAAAGGCTTTAATTACCATGTATTCCACATGACACTCATGCTCTTTGATCCCATCTCTGCCTTGCAAATGTATCGGTATGTTGTATTCCACATGAAATACCATCACACCAGAGCTTACTCCCTGACTGACGCCCAATATTTACGATCAGGTGCATGAATAAAGACACAGTCAACTACTGCACCATTACCTGTACAACAGGAACATTTCTTCCTAACCTGTTTATTTAATGGTTGGCTCATTTCCCCAAACACGAAAGCTCATTTCCCCTTTGTATATAATTTTTAGTGTGGTGATTTAGCCATGGATTTTTAATTGCACCTAATTAATACTTGAATCATCCTAGTTTTTTAGTCTCAGCGGAAGCATGCAGCCATGAATCCTATAGTTTAAATCTGCACTATATATAACTGTGTCTTTTCACAAGGGTGAAGACTCAAACCAGTTATAACATACTCTATGGAGACACGAATCCTGTCCTCCTCCATATTTGCCACAGAGAAAGAAAAACTGGAAAAAGACAATACAATTAAACAGTTAAAAAATACGCAGTGATGCATTTGTAGGAAGCAATTTATATACTCATTTTAACAGGAGAAAAAGAAAAAAAAGAAAAATAAAGGAAAAAAGGATAAGAAACCATCTGGTCTTTTATACATCTTATTTGGTATTATTAGGTTGAAGAAAGACGTGCACATTTTCCAAGCTGGTGGCTGCTCTGAATTGGGTTCTACAGTGACAAATGATAGAGGAGATAATCACAGTATCCTGGGAAGCAGCATCACTAAGGAGATAAAAGGCATTCACAATCAAAAGTTGCTGAATCTTCAATTTTGACACAAGGAAGAGTAAAATTAAATACAGAAACCATCTCCTAACTGGGAATAAATATCTTGGAGGCACCTGTGAGAAGATTAGTGGTGGAATTCTAAGAAAGAGACAAGTATGGTCAAAAAAAGGAAAGGGAAAACTATGTGCTGCTTGAACACATACTTTTGAATTTATATTTACAGCAACAAGCACTAGATGGGCTATTTGACCAGGACAGCAGGACCACGTGGGTTTATTCTTCTAATTATTTAAGTTTTCTTAAATATTTATACAAGCACTAAGGAACTTGAAAAGCTGCATACCCACAGTGGCATATCTCCTACTTCAACCTGGGGTCATTGATTTCTTAAGGCCTGTATACCCTTTTTTGAAACAACAAGATGACTTCTGACAGTATTCCAGGTTTACTTCTCTCTACTATTGATCAGTGCGCAGCTGGCTTATTTTACAAGCTCAATCTGACTGAAAGGCAGTATGGTTAGAGATCAGATGCTAGTTCTAAAAGGGGAGGTGGAAGGGGTGGAATAGGTAGAAGAGGATAACAGAATAAGAATTGGGGGTAGGGGCGGAACAATTCAGGAAAAATTAAAGGAGAGAGACAACAATTAGTACTGAGAAAGACAAAAGACAACAAGAAATGCAGGGAAAAAAAAAAAAAGAAAAAAAAGGATCATTTCTGAAATGGATTTCACAGTCTATACAGCTCAACTGATAGCAGGAACCTAAAGAAAAGCCCGATTTAGGAAATCAGCTTTTCTGACATTGGTTGGACTACTTGGGTTGAGTAAGCAGAACACATTCTTCCAATTTCCTAAAGCAATAAAATTTGCAGCTTTAAAGTAAGTTATGTGGATTTTTTTTTTGTTATACATATGTTCTCTTGCTTGTGCAGAAATATGAAAAGAAGATTTTCACTTAGAATTGTAAAAATGTTTGTATTACTGTTGATCAAACTCTTGACAGCATCAACTGTTAGGAAAAAGGATACTAGTTATTCCTCACAAAAACCATGAAAAAAAAAAAAAAGGCATTTTACAAGCATTAAGTCAAGTATTCAGACACTGAACACTGAATATGGGTATCATATGGAATAAACATACCTCAATGTTTGGTTGGAATTATGGTTGGATTATGCAGCAGGGGGAGATAAGTGAAATTAACTTGAAAGGGCATGACCTGCACATTTTTTTAAATGGAATTTGTTGCTCCAAGGCTTTTATACTATAATCCACTGCTTACGATTTTTAAAGAGACCATTATCAATGCTTCATGGTGTTGGCATATCAACTAAAAAGCATTTAAATAACTTTATTATTGGTGTTCATACCAGTAATACAAGAATACATACTGTGTGAAAATAAATGTATGTATAATGTTCACATGTTTTTAACATCCATAAAAACCTGAGCCTGATCCTTCAGTCATGGGCAATATCCAGTGACCTAAGGTAAGGTCAACCCTTAGAAGACTGACTCAAGACTATAAAGGATAGGGTCTTTATTCAGTGTACAGTAGTCACTTTAACAGAGTAAACTTACATTTTTTACAACATCACTTTCTTCATCCAAGCATGCTTGGTACAAAGTTCTAAGCAGTAGCTCCATGTGTTGTGTTATGTGATCCTCTGTATGTAGCAATAATGTATACAGAAGCTGGGATGCTTTTATTCTTGTGCTTCCAACCCAGTCTGTTATATCATGACAGAGACCTGGAAGGATTTTGGAGAGGTTTCTTGACACAAGTTCCCGACAACCTAGTCCCGGTCGAGTCACTAGAAGAAAACAAACAAACAAAAAACAAAACATTAAAAAAAGGAAAAAGAAGTATCAAAGGAAAAGTCAATGCACATTAATCCTTAGAAAAGTTTAAAGGCTCCGAGATAAGAGCTATGGGTGTCTGCTCCAGCAACGAACAAAATATTCCAAATGCTGCCGAGGAATTTACCTGCACAAGCTGCATTTCTTTAATATATACCGCAGAATTTAAACTCCACATAGCTCTCTGAAAATTTATGTTTTTATTACTGGATGGTGATTTAGATTACGTGTTTTAAAATGTTTACAGAAGGGGAAGAGAAAGAACTTAAATGAATATGGGACATTACCCACTTTGGAAAACAGCTTAATCATTTCCTTTTAATTTTTATAGCAACACAAATCCCATTAAAAAAACAACCCAAAACACACAGAGATAAAACAGAAGAAAGACTTTTGCATGAAACTGTTGTGGTATCACCGAGTTGAACGTAATTTGGAGGGGGAAAGAAAGATAAGTCACAAATAGTGCAGGGGACACAAACTGCAGTAAACCAGACAATGTCAGTTGTGTCCTCTTGAGGGAAAAGGTTAAACCTGTATGTAGCAAATTAAAAGTAGAAAGGGTACTACGACTTGTACAGTGCTGTGTAATACATCAAGCCAACAAAATTGATATTATTTTTAAAATCACAGCTACTATACAATCTCTTTGCTAAGGCCTTTTCAGGAAAAGTGGCTCACTGATATGCCTCTTCAATCTCTGTCTGCTTTTTATATTAAATAACACATTTCAAAATCAAGTGAAAGATTATACAGGAGTTGTGGGAATCTTTTTTTTTTTCTCCCCCCAGATTAAATTTCATTTGTAAAGATTTTGTGGAAGGTGGGTTTTTGTTGTTGTTATTATTTGTTTTTAAACAAAACCCCAAGGTGTTAAAAATACATATTCTCTACCTCAATAGACGATGCAGATTTCTAGAGAACTAATAAATTTAACTTCCCCAAGAAATGCTTACTGTCCTGTCTGGTAATCATCAAATTTACACCTTAGTTCATTTATAAATCACTGAGACTCAGAGAAGCAACCTGACCAACATCACAAGCAACTATCAAGCCCCCACTTCTGTACTTTACACAAAGCTAAGACAGCACTTTCCAAAGAACTGCAATAAACTTTAGTGACTTTTTCTACAGGAGACTTTTTTTCCTTTACTGTACATGCTTATACAGACAAAATCTGAAAAATTGTTCTATAAGGACCACCAATTTATTATTGCCACTCACAATGTTCACATCCTGTTTTGAGAAAGAGACATTATTCATTATGAGGTGTCAAAAAACACTGAATGTGTGAGTACATTTTTTTATTTCTGGTACAGAGTTCTCCTGTAAATGCTTAGAAAGGAAATGACTGAGTTGTGTCAGCATATTTTCCCACATCGGTCCATGTAACTACAAATGCTAAAAAGAAAAAATGGACTAAAGGAAATGACCTTAAGAGTACAAAATGCTTATAGAAATGCCTATGAAATACCTACAGTAGGAAAAAAAAACCATTCAAGCATTAGGACATGAATTGCTGCTTCTCTTGTCAATGGAGGATAAGATTTTGGATTATGAAAACTGACAATGAATAGCAAAAGGTCAAATAAAGAAATCAACTTGAGACAGAAAATACAGACTGGCATCCTATTCCACCTGAGGCAGAATTTTGTTTAAAGAATTTGGACCATTCTTTATCAGTAGTTCCTTCATTTCAGATGTTCAAATGCAGGCATTTATCCCTGTAGCTACTCCTGTCAAAGACTTCCCTGCTATAAACTGTCTGCACCTGTATCCTAAGGCAATGACTGCTGTTGCTCAATGGAAAGCTATTCAGTTGGTTGGATGACACCAGGTATGAGGTCTAACTCTACTCCTCCTCTGACCTGCAATATCTGTCATCCTGAGATCAAAGCACAGGGGGCTCATACGTCAGGTTCATTAGCTTGACAGCTGGACTGAGATAGTTAAGTAAAACATACTATAAACTCACAGTTATCAAAAGATATTGCACGATGTTGAGTAAGTCAGAAGCAAGAGCAACAAAGTGTTAAAATACATCATTATCATATTATAAAAAAATACAAATGTGTGTGGAGGGGAAACATGGGGGAAGGACAGACATAGTAACAACTCATACGGTCTGTGGTAAGACACCACAAATTATTACTTGAAACTAAGGTATACTAGTGTCTTTGACAAAGTTTTATATCTGTAAGTAGATGATTACCCTTTCCTCTCAGTTTTCTTCTCTTTTGCACATAAAGCCTGAGTGTTAAAAGGACATATAACTTGGAAGTAAAAGGTAAGCAGCAGGAAATTGTATCTTAAATTCAGCATTAACTTGGGACTCAAGTGCATACATATGTCACATTCAAGCCTTAACTGCATATTTCCACCAAGCAAGATGCATGAAAAGTCAATTAAGTGCAGAGCTGAAGTGTTGCCCAAATTTGTGAAGCATATTTATTATGCTAAGAAGATTATTTCAGAAAGTTCACATCATTTAACTGATGAATTGATAGATGTCCCTTTCCAAAAAAAAAAAAAAAAACAGTCCACGCACACACACACGAAACCCAACACGCACCTAGAGAACGCTGAACAGGTAACAGCATTTGCAATATAAATGATAACAAAAGTTTCAAGGACTAGCATATAAAGCCTTTGATGACCTTCACTTACAAAATAAGTCACTGGAGCTTAGACAGTCAACTTCAACAGTTTATATACATTAAAAAATTCTCTGCCATCACTAGTGGAAGTAAAAGCATTCTTTACCATTTACAAACCCCTGAGGTAATATTATACATAAAATAAGGAAAAAAAGAGAATTGGAAAGGATAACAGATCAACTTGACTGTCTTCAAAGCTAAACAGTTCTGTCAAACTAGTCACCATTATGAAGTGCTTCCCCTTTCATTCAAGCATTACCGAGGAAAGCAACTTTAAAAGGAAAAAAAAAGTCTAATTTCAAAGGAGGAAGGACTCCGGAACACACTGTCATGGAAAAGATTTTGCTGCTGGGTATTCTGTGATGTGATTGTCAGGTAGGCACAAGTAAAGCATAAACCTGTTCTTTCACACCAGAACAGTTTTTGTTCTGTTAAATATGACTATAGAAATCAATAAATGACCCATGTAAACCCTCTCTCCAACCAACACCCATATGCATATCTTTAAACATTAACTTTATGAACCTGAGACAGGAAACAAGGTTCAAGCTACCGCAAACATATTGTTTAAAAGCTACCTATAAATCATACGGTACTGAAAAGTAATCTACCTGTGCTGGGTATCTTGGGGTTTTGTGTATAATAAAGGAAATTTTTGTTTCTGTTCCCATGCTCTTCATGTACGCTGGCAAATTTTAGATTGCATCCCAGTGTCTCACAAAGAAGTCTGAAATCATTCCACTGCAGATTTTTCTTTCACACCAATTCTGTGGATCATTAGTGTTGTGCCCAGTTCTCATTATTCAAGGACTCAGCTCAGAGGTTCTTTCATCCTGCCTTCCCTTCCTGTCATGTCTATGCCCATTCTTCACCTGGCTGCTGGCTAATGTAGAACTTTCTGCTGCTTCTGCATCACTGCTTTATCGCTTTTTCAGCATAGGCATTTTCATTTACTCTTTCTCCAAAAGGCATTTTGGGATTAGTGGAAAAACTGAATGTAGTTACTGAACAAACATTTTTTTAAATTTAAATTTAATATAGATAATTTTATATACATATATGCTATATTGTATTTTAAAAAAAACACGCTACCCCTATGTGTTAACTAATATTACATCTTGTAATGAATATTACACATCCTGCTCTGCTGTCATTGCTGCACTGCAGCTCTTAGGGATTATTCAGGAAGTAAAAACCACTTTCAGTGCAACACTTACCTCCTTTGGGATAATGAGATGGTGAAACACTAAAATCCATCTTATCCTTCAGATCTTCTTCATTCTCTTTCTCCCACTGCAAGCCTATCTTTTCCCAATAAGTCCAAGCCAGTTTCCTAGACATAAAATAAGGGGTTTGTACCATCATGCCCCCAAAAGAAAAGCATTTTAAAATAAGACTTCCAGAAACTCTGACTTCTTAAATTCAACTGGAAGGACGGGAAGGATTCCTGCCATTTAATCTAGGCACATTAAGTTGAGAGTTTATGCTTCTTTTGTACTCGGTGGACAGAGGTCACCTCTTCCAAAGGATAATTCTGTCTCTTTCATACTTACTTGAATGTAGCATCAAAGGACAATATAACAAAAGTTACTGAAGATACTGCTATCATTCTGGGTTTAAGAAAAAAAAAAAGTGTTTTTTTTCCCTCCAAGCAATACATCTGTGAACATAGAAACACCTCCATGTACAACAACTATTTAGAGGGGAAAAAAAAAAAAAAGAAAAAAAGTGTTCTGCTTACGTATTTTCAGGAATTTCATCAGTAAAGCTGCCAAGCAACAAAGGGATCAACTTGTGAAAATAGGAATATCTATCTCGTAGGTGCAACAACCATTCTCCAATGACAGTTGTTACAGCATGCCGAACCTACACGGATATAAAAAGACTATTTTAAATAAAAATACCAGGAAAATACCAGAAAAATTAAAAATATTTGCTTTCAGTATGTAAGACTTGGTAAAGTGCATCAATAGTCTCAAAAGAAATTACAGGAACCCAGGATTTCCTCACTTGCAGGAAGCATCTTAAGTAACATGCAAGGTATCATGCTCCCTCTTGTGTTCTCACTCTGGCTTAGTTAATCTTAGACTGTGCTGCACAAAAGCACATCTCTGAGAGGAAGCAAGATACAGACCTAACTCAGAAAACTCTAAATTCTCATGGTTAATGTTTCTCTGAGAATGTAAGAAATGTACATTTCTCTGGAATTTGAAGATTTCCAAGCACATCTCCAGAAGACAATTTCCTCTGTTCGCTATAAAGGAAGCCTAAGTTAAATAATGTGAATACACCCACTCAAAAATTAAAATATTTTAACTATTATTAAGTTGCACATTTTAAAATTACAGCCTCAATTGCATCTTATGAAGGGACCAGTGTTTGTTAAGCATCTGAAAAAGCCACAGAATCAAGGTTCAGAGAGATCTGACAGAGGAATTTAAGACAGAATTGAAGGCCCCCATTAAAATAAAAAGGTGCCTACAAACTTCAACAGCCTGCAGAATTAGACAGCAGCTGAATAGGTCACCAACCTTGGTTTTGGATAGCTTACAGTTGAGAAAGCCTGTATGTGACATACTTACATATCTCAACTGAATGAATGAAAGCTGAAAATGGGGTGGGGAGGGGCAGAGAACACCAAGAAAACTACCCTGAAACAGATTTAAAAGAAATCCAGAAAAAAAAAAAAGAAAAGCACACCTTGGGAATCTCATCAAATAATCTCTGTGCCAGATGAGACAGAACATCATCCACAGACTTTCCATTTCCAAACTGTATTACTGCTCCAGTAGCCTGAATTACGTCAACACGAACTCTGTAGTGCTGGTGTGAAATTGTTTGCATTAAGGGTTTTATCAGAGATTCTGACTGCATATGGAAGTGCTCTGTTAGGGCAGAGAGACAGAAACTTCAGACATGCCTTTCTCAGATCTTGAGCAAGACGATTTCTGTAACACTATGAAGAGCAGCCAGATGAATGTTGCTGCGTTTATGTAGCGTGCAGATTTAACTTTATCCTATATCAGAGCTGCACGCTAGCCCACATGCACTCCCCTAGCCCCCTCCTCCCACTACTGCCTATATGCTGCAACTGCTCAGCATCCATCCCTGGCACGGTTCTTCTCCAACAGGCACTCCAAGGCAAAGTACACCTGTGAGGGTGTGTGCAGCTTCTCATCTCTCTTCCTCTCTCCCGGTTGCATCCCTGTAACCTCCTACCGGTCCCTACCTCAGCCCCTATCCCCCCGGGAAACTGCAGGCTCAGGCCAGCCCACAGCTCCCCCCGCTTTGCCCATCCCTAGGCCCCACCTGGCATGGCCTGGGCGCAGGCCACGGCGCACCTGCAACTTTCACGCCTGACCTCGGCATAGTGGTCGAGGAGGGTGGCCTGGAGGATGCGGATAACGTCGGTGAGGTAGGGGGCCAGGGAAGCCCCGCAGCGCTGCAGCAGGAGGCTCAGG